TGATTCAATTGTATGCCAGATAATGCCATCAGTATCTTAAATCACTACCCCAGTATCCTATAAAAATGTTCACTGTGTTCAGAATTTCTAGTGTGCTGTTTGTTTGGAAGTCTTCAAATATTAGTCATGACTGCACAATGCAGTCAAAGACATTATGCACAGTTGAAAAAGTCTGAGAAAGCCATGTAAGGTTGAGGGAATCAGGATGGTTGTTTTGCCAAATTGTCCACCATTTGAGTCATTCTGACCCAAATGTGAGTGAGATGACGACGGGAGGAGTAAATACATAAAAGCACACATACAATGTGGGCAGGTTTTAGATGCTTCAGACACCATCAATATTTCTTATAAACAAAAAAATTCTTTGAACAATAATGTAATCAAACTGTGAGGGCACAGGAGCATCCTCAACCCTCATAAGCAGTGTAGAATGCTCCAAAGCATCTTCAGCACTGAACATGTTAAATTAACTTTTAAAATAAAAACAAATGGTTTTCTCTTTGAATACAGTTCTATAATAAATGTTCCTGAAGTGTTTGAGCAGATTTTAAATAATTTGATATTAGGCTGTAGATTAAAAAACATTACTGCCATAATTCCAATTTCCTTTTTAACAAACAGATAAAAATTAAATCAAAACCAGTCATTTTGATATAATTCTTTTTGATATATTTTTATTAAAATAATCACTTATTTTCAAATGATATTTTATCCAATATTGAAAAAAAAAAATGTAAGTTATAACAGATTAATTTAGTAAAGGAAAACTGTATGTAGTTCCATCATTAGTATTTGTTCAGGAGTGTATGAAAATATTGTCTTAAAATACAGTCATTTTTTTTTGTCTTCGTTTTGCATATAGTAGTAAAATACACTAATATTTTATGATCTATATTTTGAAACTGTCATAAAAAAAAGCAGCTTTCCAGAAATAGTTATTCAATACTGAAAATGGTCATATAAATTACAAGACAAATATTTATTTACTCTTTTGAATTTCCCAAAACCCATGATCTGCTTTGCATGTTATAACAGGCACCATTAGCTAGGCATTGGTGTGCTTTTTAAATGGCAACACTGGACAGAAGAGTAAAAACTGTGAATACCACAGCAAATTTTTTCAGTCAGCAACTGAGTTGACATCATAGAGAGTGATTATCAAGGGAAACAGCAGATGACTTGGTTTCCCTGGAAGGAGGGTGTGAATACTACAGATTCATAAGCAATTGGTGGCAGTATGTGCGGAACAAGCACCATCACAGAAAACATGGCTACACAAACAGAGAAGGAAAGTGAAAGTAACAATGACAATCAACATTCCCTGGGTGGAGCAGATCATCCTGGAAAACAGGTACATCATATTTTTGGAAATAGAGGCAGCCACAGAACTTGCCAGAGTCACCCTATAGCACACCATGCATGAGCACTTTAAGATTACTGACTGCAGCACAAATGCAACAACATAAAGACAGGAGCTGTCATCTCCTGTAATGCTATGACCAGAATCCAGCAGGCTTCATGTCCAGGTTTGTGACCAGTGATGAGAAACAACTCCATTACCATGAACTGGACAAAATTCCAATCAATGCAATGGAAGCACATGGGGAATCCACTGAAGCTATTTCAGACAATGTCCTCAGCCAACAAGTGTGTGGCCTCAGTGTTTTGAAATACTGAGGCCACATACTTTGAAACAAGGATGATGTGTTGAAACATTGAAGGCATCATCCTCATTGTCTAGCAGGAACAGCAAACAACCATTAATAACTGCATGTGTGGTGACTCTCTGGAGCTTGTGTCATGCAATACAACAGAAACAGCCAGGGAAATGGGCAGAAAGTGTTTGCATACAAGAAAGATATCCACTGTACATGAAGTGTTTATCCAGCAGAAAAGAGGGTAAGGGAAGGGACTAGGGAAGAAGTAGGGAGAGGAGATAGACAGTAGAGAAAGGTAGGATCCTCTGAATGGCATACATAAGGTTACAGTAACCTCTATGTTTGATGTTGGCATTCAATATCAAACATAGAGGCAACATGACAATGTGCATTCCAACACTAGTCAGAAAACTGCTGCTGCAACTGCCAAGATGGAGTTTCAGTTACTCTGCACCCTTTGTACTCCCTGATTTAGCCCCTTCTGACTATCATCTGATGAGGCCTTGAACTGGAAGCAACTGTCCAGGCATGGGTGTGACACACTACCAAAAAGTAGTTCAAGAAGGACACCACACCAGTGGCAAAAGTACTTTCAATTTAGTCTTCCTTCAACTGTAAGAAGGTGGACCTACTTACAGAGTTGTAAGTAATTTTTTTTTTGACACAAACGAAAGTGTATGCCCCTTGTACAAAGTGAGAGATCCAGAGATTTTAAAACTCTTCTTTGTTACAGGAAGCAGTAATCAATTGCTACAAGTGGAACTATACATAATAATAGAGAGGTTGAGGCGCATGTTTTAAACGTGTACGTTTGACGTTCGGCGCCGCTTTCCCATAAGCCTAAAAGTTTGACAATGGTGTTTGGATAGTCGGTGGAATCACGCTCGAGTATTCCAAACATCATCGTCAAACTTTTAGGCTTACGGGAAAGCAGCGCCGAACGTCACACGTACACGTTTAAAACGTGCGCCTCAACCTCTCTAATATGTAATAGGCATAATTAATTAGTTATAATTTTTTTTGATTTTTTTTAAAGGAAGGAACTTTTGTATATTGTAAATATGGAACCAAGTTCATTGTTCCAAAGGAGATAAATATCATTAAAATATACAAATACAATAAAGAATGAAAATTCTCTATTGATAAGACCTGGATAATAACCAAGATATAGTACAACATTTCAAAAAATTAATTTAGATGAGATAACACTGAAATCCATAAAACATGGGCAAAAAGAGCATGTTAAACTTTTAGTAGTATTTTAAAATACACCAGTCAGTGTTTTTATAACTGAACACATGTATTACAATTGAAGAATTCATTTCCAAAAGGCCCTAAGTCCAAAATATTGAAAAATACTGTGCATCAGTTAATGTGTTACTACTTAACTCCTTGGGTACACAGCAATTTTTAATATTAATGTAATTAAACATAAAAAATATTTAAAACTGAAAAAAAAAAAAATGAAAGAAATGCGTTAATTTTGAAGAGAAAGCTTCAAAGTTATTTTTCGTTGTCTCCCCTTTCCGCAAAATCTGATGCTGATGAGTAATTGTGTTTACATCTGGATGACCTTGAGAACAGCTGGTATCATCTTTTGCGGAACATTCTCATAAAATTTACAGGAGGAAAAGGGTTTAAAATAGTGAATACTAGCTGGCCGTATATTTTAAAATATTTTTCAAAAATTACATTTTTTATTGCGATTTCCAACCCGTCCTGACTTAATTAAATGTATATATGTTACCGGCAAAGTTCGAAATCAGCCATTTTATAGAATGCCTGATTTGTATATAATATAGGCATTGTATATAATGCCTAAAACTAGCCGGCAATCTATAAAACGATTCATATTTTACAAATTTCCTAGGCATTCTATACAATGCCAGATGAGAAACCGGCAAAGTATGAAATACATCTCCATTTTGTTTCGAATATCACGTGGCAAGGCACGTCATTTTTAACACTTTGCAGTTTGTTCAGGAGTGTCAAAATATGCAATTTTATTTAAATTTGTTCAACAAAAAATTAGTTTTTTACTGTGCTCCATGAAAATGGAGGAGAAAGCTGTANCTGAGTTTTCTCGGGATAAGGGCTTAAGGGGTATTAAATTAATGTCACTAGATTCACCACCTGGCTCAGTATTTGTCAAAAAGTTCTAAGTTCAATGGAAAAGAAGTTTATTGCAGTTTTGTACAAATTACAAGTCCAAACAATGATTCCTTTCAAAAGGCCACCAGTCAATTATCATTTGGGACCTTTTGGAAATGAGATCTTAAATTAAAAATGGATTATGTTTATAACTGATTTTATGTTGTTATTTCACTAAGTATTTTATTTAAATAAAATAATTAGTTTATGAATTTTCACTAGTTTATGAACTTTTACTTATAACATATACACACAATATATATAAACGGCTAGAATCATGTACAGAAATGCCAAATTAAAAAGGGGGTAATTTTAAGAAAATGAGAGAGAATTCATAAAGCAGTTATTTATCATACACACAAAAAAGGACAAAAGTATATTAAAAAATGTAATCAATAAAACAGGAGTAATCAAAACCTTTGATCATGACATACTGTATTAATGAAATGAGAAAGTGAGATTTCATGAAAATGTTAAAACCTGTTGTAAAAATTATTCAAAAGGAAAAAATCAATCTGCTATTTGAAATAAATTCAGAAGAAAAAAGATTTTTTGTGTACATTTGATTTTAAAATCAAATAATATTTCTCAAACTATCAAATGGCAAACACCATACTGTTTTCTTGCTGACTTGGCATCTAAAGCTGATGAAATTACTATTTTAATCTCATCCTCAAATGTAAGAAATTTTGTTGATGCTTTTTGCAAAAAATAGATTCAATATGAACATTTAATCCTATCCTCAAAGCTTACAGTAATCTCATCAGCTTTAGATGCTAAGTCAAAACTATCATTGAATAAATCTCCGACAGGAAACAAATAAAAGAATACAGTGAATCATTATAGCATTACTTTGGACGACAATAGTATACAGAAAAGATAAGAAATTAAATTAATTTAATATATTGCCAGTCAAAGATTTAAGAAATATTGTAATTCATACATAAACCTTTCCTTGATGCAAAGAATACAATGATGTACTGTTCTAACATACTAATTAATATATTGTATTTCTTTCATATTAAACTTTATTTCCTTTCCCTATGCATATTAGAACAGATTAATTATTACATTAATAATTTTTTTTGATTAAACTTAAATATCTATGTTTTGTTTTAAATAATTATTTTCACTAAATAAAAAAAACTCATATTGCCCAATTTGGAAGTTTACAAAAATGAATGTACTTACTCTTTTGAATTAGAATCAAGCGTCATCCTTCGCATAACATCTTCCATATCTTTGTTTGCCAATTCAAATGCAGCTTTCTCTTTTTCATAAGCTCTTCTCTTTTCTTCTAATTCTTGTCTTTGCTGTTCTAAATTCTTCTTCATTTGTTCGTGTCTGTGGTTAAGCTATATTTCAAAAATGAAATATTGTACAACATTAAAATTGATTTTCTATGCTTGAAAATTTTTATTTCATTACAATGAACAAAATTTTAGTTGTGTGAACTTCTGCTCACTATTAAAATGTAATTCAGAATAATTCATAAAATAAGCATCTTGAAAATGATTTAATATAGTAGTACACAGATCTTCAATTTTTAATAAAAAATTATGGAGAAAGTTCTTAAGAATAAAGTATTTTTCTATGATAAATGTTACTATGCACAGAAATGAGAAACAAATTTTAACGTTGTCAGAGAAAAAAAGTCACCTGTTGAGAATACAAAGTCTTGATTAATATGTATGTCTTAAGGAATTAACCAGGGACAGAATCATATTCTTTTAAGAATTGAATGAGTTTTTGAAAACTGTTCATGAACAAGCAATTGAACATAATCTGTAAAACAATGAAGATAAGGGAGCCCAGTGTTACCAATTTACCTTATGCAGTGGTTAGTAACTAGCTATCCTTAGCACAAAATATTCAAAAATAAGTTGATTAAATGTTGATAATTACAGAGTTTGAAAGTAAATTACAGTGGTACCTATTAATACCTGGATATATGTACCAAATATTGGCTCATATATGTACTGTACATTGCCAGCCAGAAATCAGATGGTGACGAGCATTAGTCCAATACAGCTCATTGTGGCAGTCTATGGCCAAAGCTGGGATTGATTATTTTCAAATTAAAGTTGCAAAATGCACATCTGAATTAAGTTCTAGATTAAGACTTTTTAAAATTTAATATAATAGACATATGGACAATACCTGTATTATGTTTATTAATTTGTTATCAAATGAGATATAACACATTAAAATAAGGAATGGTTATTTAGAAAACAGCCTATTGGGAAATTCCCAATTTCTCAATCTGCTGTTTGCTATAATGTGAGCTTGTAAGAATCTCATCTAAGAAGTATTTAAATACTTAACCTAAGTTTGTGGAAGTAATAAGAACTTGATGTGATCAACTAGTTCTATATCCTTGTATTCATTTGGTATGAATCATTTTGAACTAATTTGAATTAAGCTCAATAATAAAGTTTCTTTATGTACATGAAAGTGATTTTACCAAAACACATATGCTAAAATTTTCAGTTCCAGAAGAGATGATTTAATTTGACAAGCATTTTTAGTTCTTCTATAGGCCTTCTTCAGGTTACAATATTCAATAAATATGTAGTATATATCACAAAATATAGTAGACCCCATCATAAAACGGGTTCATATGATATGGATTTGTATATAACAGCGAAAAAATTGCGATCACATCTGTATAAACACGCTAAAAGAGACTTGTACGATACGGTAAAATGTCATCGCCGACTCGTGTCGTTATAGGATTGGTCGAATCTAGACCAATAGCGGATATTGCACAAACTGTTGAGTTTAAATGAGCAGCGGACCTACTAAAAACCATTTATTTAATGGCCATAAAAATTATATTTATATTAACCTTTCAACAGTTGACTAGTCGAATATGGTTATACCCCCAGTACTGGAGAATAAATGTGGGAAATTTTTAAAGTATTTTTCCACGCATTTTTTCTCATTATTGTTTCGGAATAAGATTTTGTAAACAGTTATGTCAATAAAGAAAAGTCTTTTTTTATTGTTACATAATTCATTTTTTATGTGAATTTTTTTTGCGATAGTTTTAGGCGATACCCCCAAAGAATTTGATGACTATAGTCGTCCCTCACCACTGCCACACGATTGCCCTTGACAACTATAGTCATTGCTCACTGCTGAGTGGTTAATGATATCTCCAAAGTTCAGCAAATTTTTTACAGAAAAATAATTTATCAGGAAACACGTGCCCACCATTCGATGCGCCACTCCATGACGAAAACAAGCTTAACCTGTCCTATGTTATTCCCGAAAATATTCGTGTTGACCTCATTGACCTCCGTGGGCGATCCTGAATATTTTCATGTTTACATCGAAATGTTTTTGATACTAGATGTCGCTATGCGACACAATTTTTATATTAGTTAATTAAAATGAACTTTTAAAATATAATTTTTTTTGTTTCTATATTATTCAATATATTTATTTTTTTTTGTGCAACATAAAAAAATAATTTTTAACGATACAGTAAACACAATTATTATTTAAAAAAAATTTTTTTAGGCTTAACATCAACTAAAATTCAACATGGCATCACAGGCAACAAATAAAAATTTCAACATCAAATAGGTTAAGCAATGGCGTTGTTGAATGGTGCACATTCAGTAAGTAATCCTACAATTTTTTGTTTATAGCATAGTTTATATGGATTATTCCCAAAAAATTATATGTATTTTGGAAATGTTGAGTCAAATTAGTCTAGAATCAACCTTTTTTTTTAGGTGTTAGAATTTTTCACCGATCTATTCTGATTTGAGTAGCTAATATTGAAGGATTAATCACAGGCCACATAGATCCATTACATGGACCACATCCAGCCTGCGGGCCATACATTGGCCATGCCTGTACTATTTACATGTAAAAGAATTATCACATCTTGAGTAAAGAAAATAAACTTTTCTTAAGATTATAAAAAAAAGTTTATCATAAATTNAAAAAATGTCATAACATTTATGTTTTATCATAAATATATACTTTCTATTCCAGTAAAATTAACAACAAAATAAATTTAAATAATTTCATATATCCTCATATGTATGAGTCTTAAATTAATTTAATAAACTTTAAAGTTTTTATTAATCTGATATTTAGTTATGAACTTAATATTAATTTATGTTCATTATAATAGTTTTATTTTTATTGTCATATATAGAAATCCATTTACTCAAATGGAAGAAGAAAAACTTGAACATGAAGCAGAAATGAAATCTACAGAGAAAGAAACGGAAAAGGTGTTTGAAATGAAAGTTCAAGAAAAGCTTCAAAAACTTAAAGATTCTGAAAATGATGTAAGTTGTTTTTGTTATTTAATATATAAATTTACTTTTATAGCTTTATAAAAATTTTTTTTATATTACAACATGAACAACCCAGGATATTGAAAAAATTATAAAAATTGAATTATGACTATTTACAAAAAATTTAAAATTTTTTGTAAATAGTCATAATTCAATTTTTAATTGAAAATATCCTGGGTTGTTCATGTTGTAATATAAAAAAAAATTTTATAAAGCTATAAAAGTAAATTTATATATTAAATAACAAAAACAACTTACATCATTTTCAGAATCTTTAAGTTTTTGAAGCTTTTCTTGAACTTTCATTTCAAACACCTTTTCCGTTTCTTTCTCTGTAGATTTCATTTCTGCTTCATGTTCAAGTTTTTCTTCTTCCATTTGAGTAAATGGATTTCTATATATGACAATAAAAATAAAACTATTATAATGAACATAAATTAATATTAAGTTCATAACTAAATATCAGATTAATAAAAACTTTAAAGTTTATTAAATTAATTTAAGACTCATACATATGAGGATATATGAAATTATTTAAATTTATTTTGTTGTTAATTTTACTGGAATAGAAAGTATATATTTATGATAAAACATAAATGTTATGACATTTTTTCTATCAGGCTGTCTATCAACTACAATACACTTATAAAAATTATGAGCAAATTTGGAAGATAAATTCTCTAAGCTAAAAGCAACAACAATAATAAACTTTTTACTTGGTACATTAAATCTATCAATGATTTAATTAACATTATTTGTATTATAACATATATAGTAACTTCTCCAATTTAGCTATAAGTATTTTGATAATGTAGAAATCCAAAATAAATACATACAAAATTATGGTAGCCCTCATTATATCATTCATTTGTATATATCAAAGAATTTTTTTTGTCTTCAAATATAAAAATACATGGCGTCAATAATGGAAAGATAGATTGGTTATATCATGCCACCTGAAATATGGCTCTTCAGTTTGCCTCTCTACATGTCCAATATAACAAGGATCTATTCTGTATTGTTTTACATTTTATGAAAATCATATAAACTTCAGAATACATTTTTATCTGTTCTTGAATCACCTTCATTCACTTTACAAAATAATGTATTCAAACAAAATTATAAAAACATGCTACAATTTTTACTATGTAAAAGTTTAATTAATAATTTACTGCAAACTTTAAATCCAAATGAAAAAGAAAACATTTGTATATAACATACAAGTCATATAAACATTACTACTACTATCAATTATTATAATTACACTCATTAAATTTTTTTTTCAAAATATGAACAAAGAAACATTAAAAATTTGTTTATCCAGGTAATTTCTGATTGTTATTTATTAAATTATATATATATATTTGAACAAAGTTCCTACAAAAAAAACTTTTTTATATTAATTCAACATACTTATTTGTCATTTTGGGATTACCATCAGCACCAATACCAGCTAATTTCCTGCATCTATAATTTTCATAGTGAACGTTACTTGTTACATCTTTTAGATCCTGCATATGGGTCCTAGAAAATTAATAATTTATTAATTTAAGTACAATAAAATTTGTAATGTATAAAAAGTTTTATTTACAGATAATTATATACATATAATCTACATTTTCAAAGTGCAAAAATTTAATTTTAACACATTTAAAAATGTAAAATTTTTAATGAAATTAATGAATAGTCTATATCATTTAAATTTTATCATCTTTACTCTTTCTTTTTGTACTCTTTCATCTTTTCTCTTTCAACAAACATACTCTACTTTATTATTTTAAATATTTCATCTAGGGTGTCCAACCTTTTTGTTTCTCTGGGCTGCATTGGAAGAAGTCAAGGAGTTTTGGGCCAAAAGTACAGTACATATAATATATACTTATGGCCCAATATACAAGTATATTTAAAAATTAACATGTCTAGATTATAATAATAAGTATTCTTCTGACAGTAAGTATCTCATCTTTTCACTTATTTGCTCTTGAAAACGTTGGTAGTGATAGATATTTAGCTGATAAATTGGTATAATATAATTTTCATGAACCACATCTATTAGTGTAAAGTAAGAATTAATAGGAAAATGATCCGATAAGTCACAATTTAGTACTTGGATTTTGGAGCATAAATCAACTAGAAGTTCTGAGCATATAAACAAGTCTATTGTAGAGCTTCCTGAAGTGGTTATACACGTAAACTCGGATGGATAATCGTTTTCTATTCTACCATTGAGAATATATAGTTGTGCTTGAGTAGTCATTTTTATTAAGTCAAGTCCCATTTTATTTGATTTAATATCTTTGGATTTGCGAAAATTTTGGATTTTTTCATTTGGTCCTTTATATATTAAATCCATGTTTTGTGCTATACGGGCGTTGAAATCTCCAGTTATTATAATAAAAGGAAAAGCTACTCTTAAAGATTCATATATCCGAAATATTTCAAAAAGANCCATTTCATTTTAAAGTACATTTTTATTCAAGTAATATATTTATAAATAATATGTAGCCTAAAAAGTAGCCAATGCGCCAAATGATATTTTTTACGTCAAACAAAAAAAGTAGCCACATTTGGCGCAATGTAGCCAAATCTTGCAATGTTGGAAAAAATACTAAATAAAGCTGTAGTTGTGAATCAAAGGATTATAGACCCAAGTGCAGGAAAAGGAGAGAAAGAACAAAACATAAAAATGTGAGAAAGGTTGGAAAATTAAGGGTCCATATTTGCTTAACAGAAGATCTATTTAACCTTTCTCACTTTCTCATCTTTCCCTCCTTTTCCCAAATTTGGGTCTATAATCCTTTGAGTCACAACTCCAGCTTTATTTAATAATCCTTCCTCATTCACACATCTCCAAGTATTTGAAAATATTTCCTTTCCACTCAAAAATAAAATATGAATAAAGGTTTACAGTTTTGTGAAACTTCTTTTTTGAGTTTATGCCGATGAAATAGATAAATGACAAAATGTTTTAAGTTTTTTATTATTACAATGTTTTAATGTATTTATTGGGCCGCATGCGGCCCACGGGCTGGACACCCCTGATCTAGATGATGCATTTTGATGCACTGAAATAATCTCAAAAAGTTAAACAAAAATGTTTTAGTGCTGATAATATCTGTAGTATATTTCATGTTTGAAGAACCATCTGAGATCAAAGAAATACATCCGAGGTGTATTTCTTTGACCTCAGATAATTCTTCAAACATGCTTTATGTTTTATGCTGATATTAATGTCATTAATACTAATTTTATTAAAAAATTTGCATTCAGACTCTACAATAGCCATTGACATGGGTTCAAGAAGTAGATTGTGACTATGCAGACAGGAGTGAGCAAATTTTCCGAGTGAGCGAGAATATGTGGTGAGAAGAGGCAAGACGCAAGAAACATCAAATCCTATCAGATATGTGCGAGAACCAGAAGTTCACTCATGCCAGCAAGAATTCTTACTTCTCGCTTGTGCATGTTTTTCTTTGCAAGAACTATATCGCTCGATACTAAATTCGTGTCTGCATAGTTGCACCCTTAATCATTTAGCCATTATTTGCTAAAATCAACAGCTTGTTTCTAGACAGTTTTCAAGTTATTCTATAGTCAGAAAAATTAACTGAACTTTATTAGCTTTCAATATCTAAGTTCATCTAGGCATGTCCAATATCATAAATTAAAACATGGATTAATGTACAGAAAAAGAACATGAAAAAACTAAAGATGAAACACAACCAAAGGTTTCTTATGGCAAACATATCAAACCTTTGGTTGTGTTTCAGGAAATGTAACAGATAAATACATTTGTGGTATGGGTACACAACAACTGATCAATAGTCAAGTAGGCAATGGTTAACTGGGCAACAAACTTAAAACATATGATGTTGATTATGAAAGAACTTTAGTAGGTTTTCAGCATCAGCATAAACAAACATTACAATGAAGCTGCCAGAAAATCTTGAGAAGTTTCAAATTTCAATACGGAGAACATTATAGAATATTTACATGACATTGCATACAATTATAATATGAATTAATCAATTTAAAATAAAAAGTTTGTTTTGAATCTCATGTCTTTTTTTTTTTTTGTTTTAATGTACACAACATATATAAATGTGTTTGTTAATTATGAAATCATTCTTTTAACTTGTTTTTTTTAAATAATTAAAATTACCAGATAGTAAATCAGTGATTTTTTTTTATAAAGAAAACAAAAAAATTTGTAGTTTTTCTATTGTTCATCTCTTATTTCATCACCCACTTGACTAGCAATCAGTTGGCAGTGCCCTTGGTATGCAAAAAATTTCCATGTTTTTAAAGTGGATCTTGGCAAACAAAGGAAAAGATGCATCATTTGTTTGTTTTTAATTAAACACAGGTAATCTATAAATTATCTGCATGAAATTAAAGTATTTAAACCAAATTAAACAGTTTTTATTTTAAAAGACAATTATTTGATTTTTAAAAACTATTTAAAAACTGAAAATTTATAAAAAACAATAATAGTGTCCAAAATTAAATTATTTATCAAAAAATATAGTATGAATTTCAATAATTTGTTAACAGAAATTTGCAATGATATAGTTAATTTTAATTGTACACTGAAAATTGATCAAGCTTTCATCTAAAAATAGTAATCCCTCCATTTAAATAAGTAATTGGTTTCATGAAAACAGCATGTAGCTGTTTTCATGAAGGCTGTTTAAAGTATTTAAAGTAGCAATCTGTTACATATTCTCAAATACACTATTTACTCTTACTAGGGTAGAATAGTTTTAAGTGACTTTTTTCTTTTTTTAAATATACATATACATAATAGGTTACTGATATATATAACATTTTTGATAAACTATCATTTATTTTCATAATATTGATGATTTAAATTTTAAAACTTTTCAACCATGTTAATGTGAATTCCTGTAAATGAAGGAATTATTGTATGCAAAATTTCAGGAAAGCTACCTACATTATTGTTTTTTAATACCACTGATTCTTTTATGTTGCATTTATGGATTGTAGAAATATATCTTGGCATACCAAATTTCATTAATGCCAAATGTGTATTTTTTTAAGGAAATTTTTGATCCTGGAATTTGTAAATTTAATTTTGGACACTAGTGAAATTAAGTTTCAAAAAATTACTGTCAGGTGTCAGTGTACGAATTACACTTCAGGGATTAAAGTCATTAAATATTTTTCTATCAAAATGTTCTATTAAATTTTAAAACTTATTGTTATAAACACATTTATATAACTACAGTTATAAAATCTGATGTATGAAATAAATTTCAAATTATTAAAAATTTCAAGATATTTAGACTACTAAATCATAAATTTTGATAAATAGAGAAAGTTTTTAACGTCAATAAAGAAGTGAGTATAAAATGTGATAGATTCATAATTAAACTGCAAAATTATTAAACAATAATTTAAAATATTTTAATTATACATTGGCTTAGATGATAATATACAGTAATCTGTAATTATGATGATCAAAGTTATCAGTCAATTAATGCTATTAGAACAAACTGTAATCAGATTACTCTGTTTGATGTTATACAGTAGAGCGTCATTTATCTAAAACGTCGGTTAACTGAAAGCATTCCAGTCGGCAATTTTAAATATTTGCTAATGCTGTGGCACCGCAATCTTTGGCTATATACTCCAATATTTTTTTTGTTGGTGTGTGTATTTTAGCTGGCAGCACTGGCACTTTTGTGTGATGTTTTTCTGAGGACCGTGCCTCGTGCTGAATCGAACGTTTTTGATACTAGATCAACTTCTAAAGTATATTTTTTTTTAGTTTTTATATTTTTCAATATATTTATTTTGTTTGTAAAAAATAAGGAAATAATTTTTAACGATACAATAGCCACAATTATTATTTTAAAAGGTTTTCATTAGGCTTAACATCGACGAAAATTCAACGCATAGCAGCTTGCAACGAAGAAAAATTTCAACACGGGATAAGTTAATATATTTTTTTGTACATAATCAGTTATCCAAAAAATAAGTTATCCGAACAACCTCGGTCCCCAATTGATTCGGATAAACGACGCTCTACTGTAGTTTTTCCCAGAATAAAAAAAATGGAGCTGATGTTCATTGGTCTAGACATACAGGCAAAGGAAAATAGTTGTGTTCATTATGAAATAGAATAGTTGTGTTCATTATCAGATGATTATAAAGAATTTTGAATGGAATATTTTAATTATAAAGATATTTAGCAGACCAAATACAACCAAGTCTGGTATGTAACACTTCAGGATATACAGAAAATTTCTGTAAAAAAATTAGTACCACAACTCACCATTATAATAAGTACAAGACATTCATACTATATAGAATCATTAGTGATGCAAGAAATATTGCTCAAAGGTGTAAAACCTGAATGCAAGGCAATGAGCATATTCTATAGTTAACTATAATCAAGCCTTTGTGATGTTTCTCATTGAAATGGTACTGTTTTTGATGCTGCCAAATTTGCAACATGTCCACAATAAACCACACTTTTTAATGGTACACAGAGCCAATATCATTTGGAAAAGCCCCAAAATTGCCATAGTGAAAAAATTGTGGTGTTAACTTTTTCATTCACATGTTCTAAAATGTCACCATACTGGATTTGGTTGCATTTGTACTGAAAAATCTCTCTCTAGACAGCATCTTAATTACAACCCATGGTATATAGAACACAGATTAGAAAAGAATGTATTCATAACATTATTTAAAATAGAATGTTTGAATTTTCAAATATTTTGCCAAAGTTGCAAATGTGATATACATTCAAGAACCAGCATATTGGTTCCATTCTTATTTTGGAAAATACTATAGTACAAGCAAATTTCAGTGATTACAATAAGCAAATTCTACTGTATATGTTTTGAAATAGATTTTAAAAAAATCATTACTTGCCTGATTAACATATTCCTTAAAGCAATGAAGTCACAATGATCTGGATTTTCCACTATAATAAAAATAAATTTGAAGTCAACATAATTTTCAATTTAAATGACTACTAATAATAAAGAAAACACCTTTTTTTGCCGAGAAATAAATATAATTTGCAAAAACAAACGTTTTCAGCCTAGTTAATAGGCCATCTTCAGGACGAAAAAATGGAACGCAAATGTTCCATAAATAGAACATAAAAATATTTAAATCAAAAAATTTTACAAGTAAAAAATAACGGAAGAATAAATAAACAAATTAATTAATTAATTAATTAAAACAGAAATAACATAAATCTTCAATGGATTAATTCTGGTCGAAGTTTCTAGTATATTTCTTAACCAAATATTTCCATGCCGATGGTAGGCTCTCCGCATCTCTCGCATTTAAACAGCCTTCCCCTATCCTACTTCTGTATATTTCAATTTTCTCCGCCGTCATTGCTAGAGTTGGGGAAGACAGAGGCTTGATGATTGTTGCCTCATCCCATTTAACCTCAGAGCCTTGCGCTTGCGCCATTTGTGACAATATCGTTGAATTAGATGCTTTTCTTATGGCGTATCTATGNATTTTTTGATTTAAATATTTTTATGTTCTATTTATGGAACATTTGCGTTCCATTTTTTCGACCTGAAGATGGCCTATTAACTAGGCTGAAAACGTTTGTTTTTGCAAATTATATTTATTTCTCGGCAAAAAAAGGTGTTTTCTTTATTATTATTTAGTTGCTGAGCGCTTTTGGTATTAAATGACTACTATATTTAATTGCCTTAAGAAAATTTTAAATTATACTAAAATAATAATAATATAACAGTAATTCTTTCTCTCTCTCTCTTCTTTCTTGAAAATATCTAGAGGTGTTGAAGATTTATAAGAATAAGTGACAGAATTAAATCTGTCTTTAAAAAAAAATTTGAAAATTGAATTATTTTTATAAAGGCAAAGGCAAAATTAAATTTATATACAATGAAAACTACTTAGGCGACCACCTGCATTTGACGGGCACCTGTCAAAACAGGCAAAAATTTCTGACACAGAATAGTTTATAAATAGAGTCTTCGTATAAGTAACCTGTATTAAATGATTACATGTGTAACACGACTGCAGGCATTAAGTTTTGGTCCGAAACAACATACAACAACTGTAATAAGCAACCACTTTTGCGAATATATCTGGTCTAAACTATTGTTCAAAATCATCTCAACAACATTTTCCCCTCCTAACATAATGAATTAGTCTAAACTCTTGTTTGAAACCACCCAGGGCACTTCTCCCACCCTTGAAATTAGGTACAGGTGTTAATAAATTAGTCTAGGAACAAAGGAAATTCATTTCAGTTTGTTGGAAAATATCTGAAAAACAAAAGAAATGCAAAGTGCTATCATTAGAAGATTGTGTTAAAATTATCAGAGAAAGTGAAAATGGTTTATCACAACGGCAATTAGCGGCAAAGTTTAACTGTTGGAAAATGAAATTTATTTTATCGTAGACCTACAGTATTTTCCTTGGGGGTATAAAATATTGTACATGATACAATTAATTGGCTGATCTCATTGTTTGATAAAATTTATTTTGTTTATTAATTTTTTAAGCTCATATACAGTACATGTGCAATAAATAGTTTCTGTATCAACCTACCTTATTTCCACGATATTTTTAGAAAAATAATATCCAAGTAATTTTCACATGCAAAATATTCAAAAAAACAATAAACGTATTAATGCTAAAATCAGTTTTACAAGCAACCTTCCTTTCTTGATTCCGCGATTGTCCAATGACAATCGCAGAGTGTAATAAAATCACATTATGAGAAAAAATAATAAAATCGTTTTATTATTAATTAATAATTTTTCTTATTGCACTTAAGAAAATATTAAATATAAAAAAAAATACAGTATTTTTAAAGTTAAAATAAGATTAAACTAACAAAAACCAAAACAATGGAGAGATAGGACGCACTTGTATATCGATGACATAATACACGTAACTGAAGAACAAATGAAAAGAACCAAGTCGAATTAATTAAGTCAGAAAAAAGAAAGTGTGCATTATAATCAAGAAAATGTGAGTATTGTATTAATCTTTAAAATATTGGTATTAAATCTGTCTTATAATATCACAACAATTCCTGTAAATTGGGTTATCCAATAAGAATAAAATACAATACCAATATAGCTCTATCACTGAAAAAATTCGCTTATTTTTGCTCATCCTGAGTTTTGCTTTTTAGTAGAAATGGCTAAAAGAACCAGCAAAGGTTGTCCAATACAGGAGCACCTGTATTGGACAATCACCTGTCTAAAAACACCACTTTTTGAAGGAACCGTAGATGGTCACCATAGACAGGTTTTACTGTATATATATTTATATAAACCATTAGCAATACTTGTGAATTTAAAATCTCTTCACAATTTCAAGTACTTTTTTTTTTACTTAAAGTTTAGTACATTTGAATGTTTCAAAATATGCTAACTACATTCTAACATATCTTTCCTAATACAACAGAGGCCTGCAAACTTGACTTAATTAATTAGGAATGAGAAGGTTACCAAATAATTACCAAAAACGATGATTTCATGGATAGTGATGATGCTAGTCTAAATAGCAAAATTTTCATAAAGATATTATATGTGCAAATTTGTATATGTATTAACTATGTACTAGTAATGACTATTTCTGTTTGTCGTTAAATTTTAATTTAAAAAAACATTAGATACTTAGTGACTGCTTTTGAATTAGTGACACTTACATGGTGGTGTTTTGCAGTGGCATCTTGGAAAAGGGTTATACTCTTTGTTAACATGTGGAATTAATGCTATTATCAGGTGATGCCAGTGAATAACAATAACTTATTTGATCCTAGTGTTACGTTATACAGATAAAAATTAGTTTACATGTATTTCTTGTTTTTAAATGACACAAGTTTTACAGAATGTCAAATTTCCAGAACTATACTGAACTTTATCTTTATGAAGCAGATGAAAATAAATGATTAAAAATATGTGAAATGTTATAATCATCAAAATAATTTTTGCTTATTAAACTCTTTTCCCTCATGACAGTATATATTCTATAACTAAAAACAAGATATTTATTTTAATCTACACTCAATAATACCAAGTACATATATATATTAGTTATTTGCAGACAATCAGCCCATATATTCAT